AAAAAAAAAAAAAAAAAAAAAAAAAAAAGAAAGAAAGAAAAAAAATATATATATACATATACCCAATCTCAAGACTGTTTTTATTTCATTTAGAAATGACTCTTTCAATTGTTTCCACTGAATCTGGAAAGCTTCCCCCTGTTTTCACTGCATGCTCTCCCTCTTGACTCTAGAAGGTCCCTCGCTGTTATTTTCAGAAAGGGAAACAAAAGCCCAAGGCATTGTTCCAAGTTCAGAGGTTAATGTTCCAAGGAGGCCAGTGTCAGAACACAGTGGTGGTGGAGAGCAGCACTGTGGTTTGTGTTGCAGGTTGTATCAGTCTGTCAAGCTTCTCTACATTGCTGGCATCCTGTGCACCTATGCTCTGCAGTTCTACGTCCCTGCAGAAATCATCATCCCCTTCTCCATCTCCCGGGTGTCAACACGCTGGGCACTGCCTCTGGATCTGTCCATTCGCATCGCCATGGTCTGCCTGACATGTGAGTAGAAAGGAGAGCTCAGTGTTCCTGCTGATCTTTTCTGAGGGCTATCAAGAATCACCCAGATAGGCCAGACGCATTGGCTCACGCCTCTAATCCTGGCATTTTGGGAGGCCGAGCCGGGCGGATCACCTGAGGTCAGGAGTTCCAGACCAGCCTGGCCAAACCCTGTCTCTACTAAAACTACAAAAATTAGCCAGGCACGTGCCTGTAATCCCAGCTACTTGGGAGGCCAAGGCAGGAGAATCACTTGAACACGGTGGTGACGGAGGTTGCAGTGAGCTGAGATCATGCCACTGCACTCCAGCCTGGGTGACAGACCACAATCCATCTCAAAAAAAAAAGAGAATCAGCCAGATGGTGGAGGGCAGTCATGACAACCAGCATTTACTGAGCCCTTGCTGTATTCCAGGGACCATTCTAAAGCTTTGCAAGTATTCACTCATCTAAGCCTCAGGGACAACCCCATTCTTAAACACGTACCTAATTAGACAGATTTGTTGGTGTCCAGCCTAAGGGATTGACAGAGCTTATCAAACAATAATCATAAGAAGTTTTTGGGCATGGTGGCACGTGCCTGTGATCCCAGCACTTTGAGAGGCCAAAGCAGGCAGGTTGCTTGAGTTCAGAAGTTTTGAGACCAGCCGGGGCAACATGGCGAAACCCATCTCTACAAAAAAAATTAGCCAGTCATGGTGGCCCATGTCTGTAGTCCCAGCTACTTGGGAGTCTGGGGTGGGAGGATTGCTTGAGCCCAGGAGATGGAGGCTGCAGTGAGCTGAGATTGCACTACAGCACTCCAGCCTAGACAAAAGAGTCAGACCCTCTCTCAGATAAATACATCATAAGAACTGACATGCATTGAACACTTACTTTGTGCCACGCACTGTGTTCAATTCTTTCTAGTCTAGATTTCACGATATGTTATTCAGTCCTCACAAGAATTTTCACGAGGTAAAACTCTAATAAACCCTACTTTATGAAAGAAAAAATTGAGGCAGTGAGTGATTAATAATTGGCCAGGAAGTATCAGAGGTAGGATTTGAATTCAAGTCATATAAGTCTAGGGCTGGTGCCCTTTACCTCCAGGGCAGACATTGAAAATGGGACTCTAATCTGGCAACAAGTGGTGTTTGAACCTCACAATGTTGTATAAATTTGGGCCAACATTTAAAATGTGGGCAATCTTCCATACAAATGCAGATTTTAAAAATTTTTTGGTGGGGGCAATATCAAACGATCGGGCAAGCCTGGGATCACATTCCCCATCAGCAACAATCAAGGCTGGGGCTCCTTCACCCCTGCACGGCCCTGTGCTTGCCGATTGGCTGAGGACAGTCCCACTCCCTGGCTCACAGCAGCCCCCATGACCCAGAGTGCCCCTTTCTGCAACTATTCCACCAGAGGCTAAAGGAGACGGCTAGAGATTCCTTTACAGACTGGAGGTGGCCCACTGTCCCTAAGATGCCTTTTGGTTGTCATTGCAAAAGTGTCTTCTTTATAAGGCTGAATTGTATTGCACTGTATGTACATTTTCTATAGCCATTCATCTGTCCAGGGACGTTTAGAAAATTCTTTTTTTTTTCTTTTTGCATGACAAAGCGTTACTTTTAGATGATTATCAGTACACCAACTAATAACATGCAACAAGTTCTTGAATTCTACCATCTAGTAATTTTGATTAAGAGAAACTAAAAGTAGCTCAGTTATAATAGCATTCGTTATTCTAACCATTAGCAGGAACGGACTAATTTAAGACTGGCTGCTGCTTCACGCAGATTACAGATAACTATTTACTATTTTTTCATAGATAGAATCCCTGACATTCAAGAAAGTGCTGCAGGGGAAAAAAAATTATTAATCTCTTTTTTCTTCAAAGAACATTTTTTTTACTAGATATAAGAAAGAAAAAGTCAACATTGATACATATGTTACTTGAGCTAAAAGGCAGAGGAAAACAGATAACATATACCCATTAAATTTGCACAAAATACAATGTAAACAGAAAATCTATAGGTAAGTTCTAACTCTGTACAAAGAAGCTATATTTTATATTCTCCAAGAAGTGAAGGAACCTGCTATATAATATACAGAAATCATTTAATGCCTTTTCATAAGAATATAACTGGAGCTTCATATTCCCTGAGGGTATCTAAAATGCCAATCCATGGTACAGGCGCTTCTTTTTCTTGCTGTTCTTCATTTATGCAGCAGTTTTCATGGATTTCTGTCCAGGTGTCACAGGCAAAAGCCAGGAGGCTATCCAAGCCTTCACCCCCATTCTGCTGGAAGTAGGTCTGGAGGCTGGTCTTCCTCTGAGCCACCTGCGCCACCTCAGTGCCACGGCTGCTGTGGGATTCCAGGGAACGGCTTCCTTGGTCTTGAACTCTTTCTCTCTCTGTAGGCAGTGCTGTTCAGTTTCAGCCTCAGCTGCTTCCTTGGCCTGCTTCAGCCTCTAGGTTTTTTGCTCACACCCGGACACCTTCTCAGTGGCTGCGTCTTGGCCTGCAGCAGCTGCTGAGTCCCCTGAGACTGACTGGCTGAAGCGGCTCTTGATTCTCACGCTTCTAGGCCAGTCCACAGCATTTGTTCAACACTGATTTCCTTATTTTGAAGTGATTCATTCTCAGTTTGACCTTGAAGGCAGGAACCATCTAGTATCAGAGATTCCAGACAGATCAAAGAATTTGCTGTATAAACATAACAATCCCTTACACCTAAACTACACTTCATGCATTGTTTCAATTAGCATGTATGAGTAAATAACTTGGAGTAATAGCAAAGATAACTCTTCTGAGTGCTTTACATGAATAATCTCCTTGAAGACTTTTATATCCTATGCAGAATGAATCATAATACCTAAAAGGATAGTAGCATTCATCTCTATTTTGCAGCAGAGGAAACAAGCTGAGGAAGGGGTGGGACTCGGCCAAGGCCACACGAGGAAGAGCCAGACCCCTGCCTTCCAGACCTGCTCTGTTCTATTAACGCTCCTCCTCCAAAGGAGGCCTGGTCAAGACTCCTGGGATTTCTTGGTGACCAGGAATATTTTTCATCAAATACAATAAAAAATGTAAAAGCCCAGGTCTGGAAAACATCCTCTAAAAAAATATAATCTCAAAATTTTTAGCTTTTCATGTTTCTTTGTTAGGTGTTTTCTGACATGTATGTAAAACCTGGAGAAGACACTTCTTTAAGGTATCTACCTCGTGGGTTTTCTTCCAACTGAAAACTTCTTTGTGCTATAAAGGATTTCACATTCTAATTGTTTGCAAGTAAGAGGTTCTTATACTCATGTTAATTATTTATTAAAATGCTAGGCATTTTTTAAATTATTTGTGTATTTATTATTTTATTTATTAAAATGTTAGGCATTTTAAAAAAGACAAGACTTTTAAAAAATTTGTACATTGGGCCGGGCGCGGTGGCTCACACCTATAATCCTAGCACTTTGGGAGGCCGAGGTGGGTGGATCACCTGAGGTCAGGGGTTCAAGACCAGCCTGGCCATCATGGTGAAACCCCATCTTGAAAAAAAAAAAAGTAAAAAAAAAAAAAATTTGTACATTGATACAAACTTTGATAGTCCAAACACTGATAGTTTGTATATTAATATATTCCAAACAGCTTGAATGGTTCTCAGTACTTTTATTTGGTGTTATTTATTAAGTAAGAGCTTAAGTTTTGTTGACTATGTAAGGATCCAAAATGTAACTCAGTAGCATAAAGATTGTTTTAAGCTAAAAACATTTGAACAAAAGAAGCTGCGGGAAAAAAATCGTTATATTTGTTTTACTGATATAAGCAGGACCTCCTGAAAAATACAGCTGCCATAAATTTCTTCTCTGGGAGGTTTAGAGCCAGAAAAGAAACTTAGCATTATCATTGGAATTACTAACTGCTTAACAAATTTTATCTGAAACTGTCATCGTTTCCTTTTGTTCTTCCATAAAAGCCCTTCCTCCTGCCTTCTTTCCCCCTTATTAAGAGGGTATCTTTGGCTGTTCTGGAAGCCAATTCATCTCAAGGCTCTGGAGCTTATAAATTCGGTTTGTCTTTTCTCTTGTTAATCTTACCTATTGTAAGTTAAACTCGCAGGCACCACTGGCCCCAAGTTGGTAGAGGAGAAGTTTTTCCTCCTAACAATATGAATGAACAATATGAATGAATACAATTAGACAGAGACACACCAAATTTTGTTGTTGTTATTTTGAGATGGGGTCTCACTGTATTGCCCAGGCTGTCCCTGAACTCCCAGATCCTCCTGCCTCAGCCTCCTGCATAGTTTATGCTATAGGAATGTGCCACCGTGCCTGGCTGAATTTTTAATGTGTAACTTCTAGGGAATATGATTAGGGAAATTGGAGGACTTTCAACTTTTACTTTTTGTCATTGTATTTCTGAGAAACAACTGGTTTGTTTTTTAAGAAAATAATTTTTCTTCTTCTTTTTTTTTTTTTTTAACTTTAGGTTCTGGAGTACATGTGCAGGTCATGCAGGGTTGTTGCATAGGTGCATACATAACCAGGTGGTTTGCTGCCTCTATTCCCCCTTCATCTATATCTGGCATTTCTCCCCATGTGATCCCTCCCTACCCTCCCCACCCCCTGCTGTCCCTCTCCTACCCCCCCAGCTGCCCCCAGTATGTGATGATGCTCCTCTCCCTGAGTCCATGTGTTCTCACTGTTCAATACCCGCCTATGAGTGAGAACATGCAGTGTTTGGTTTTCTGTTCTTGTCAGTTTGCTGAGAATGATGGTTTCCAGATTCATCCAAGTCCCTACAAAGGACATGAACTCATCATTTTTTATGCCTGTGCAGTATTCCATGGTGTATATGTGCCACATTTTCTTTGTCCAGTCTATCACTGATGGGCATTTGGGTTGGTTCCAGGTCTTTGCTATTGTACACAGGGCCGTAGTGAACATACGTGTACATGTGTCTTTATAATAGAACGATTTATAGTCCTTTGGATATATAATCAGTAATGGGATTGCTGGG